TCCTTGCCCAAGGCAGGGGCTTGGCATGAGATGATCTTTAAGATGCCTTCTAATCCAACCCATTCTGTGATTCCATGATTAATTCTTCAGGAAGGGGATGTGCTCAGTGGGATTAAGGATCAGATACCACAAAAGTTGCCCATAAAGATCCTCAGTTTTTATCAAGATTCTGCACCAGTAGACGAAAAAAGCTTTCAAAAATATTGATAGCACACCTAACATGAGCCTTTTGCACTTGGCTGGCCAGCTGTGACTTGGTTCAAACTTCAATTTTGTAAACAAAATTTCACTTACCCAGGCCTCAAAACTCAGCACATTCCCAAGAGAAAAGAGCAGCTTTCACCATAGGTCAGTCTCAGCCATAGACTGGAATGGAATAAAGAAAATCTGAGCATCCTCCATCTAGGACAGCACCATCTGGGAATCACCATTTTATCAAGAAGAAAGGCCTCTCCTCTGCTCTTGGGTGAGGCTCTGCTGTAAATTTGTTCCCTGATATCCTATGGAGTAACACCAAGGTTAATTCAGCAAATGTACTCAGCACAAACCTTTCTGTGCCCTCAAGCCTGGCACTGAACCCTTGTGCTCCCTTTCCAAAAAGAGATGGATCAGTGCCACCTTCACTCCCCTCTGGGTGTGAGGAACCCAAATTCTCCCAAGGCCAGAGCTGTTTAGAGCTGCCCAATGCACAGACACGTCCCAGTGCAGCCCCGCTGCAGTTTCAGACAATTTTACCCCATCTGTGATTTTCAGAACTCCCAAAAACACCCAGCTAAATTGACAGACACATTTGCTGTGTGACAGTGGCTCTGTGATGCTAATATTGGCTGTTGCCTGACATTTTATATAACAACATTTATATAACAATTTCGAGGCTCTGTGATGCACCACACAATCCCAACCCAGCCCTTCCATTTGCTCCCCTTATCAACGTAAAGCTGGTGCTGTATCAAGTAATATCAGAGAAGATAAATTATGCCACTGTTTATTTACAGTTTACATCGCTGCAGTCAATGTACCTCATGCAGGAATTGACCTGTGGAAGAACTATAGCAGCACATTATTTGTGCAGCAGTAAAATTGATGGAAATTGATGATGCCTGAAAAACACACAATTATAGTGTCTTGATTAAAAATGGAGCACATTTCAATGAACTTTTTCCCTTCTTCTCATGATTATGATACACAAGTACTAACATTAATGGTATTTTTTTATATAATGAACCATAAAATTACAGTTGGCAGTCAAGAGCACTCTAGCAGATAAGTAAGGCAATTTTCCTCATCATTTTTCCCTTTGTTGTCAATCTTGTTGCATAGCCCATTGCCTTTTCAATGAGCTGTAATGTGAATATTCAAGATCTTGCTTTTCCCCAGTGTATACATTCCAGTTGAAATAATTCCGTTTCATGGCACCTATTTTAATATGTTTTATTAAGCAAACTTCATTTTTTTTTAGGTTTTCCACTTGTACCTGAACTTGCCTGAGCATTGACAAAGAGAATAATGGCATTTAGATTGTCCAGGTTTCAGGGCAGATCAGCAAAAGTGTTTATTGAGCTTGCTGTGCAAACAGGCTTAAAAGTTTGGGTTTGATTTTGCTCTGACACTGCCTGTCTCTCTTTCCAGGAGGTTTTGTGAAGTTTAGACATGTTTGAATACTTACCCGTGTAAGTATGACAATCCAATTAACTCTCAGTTTAGACCAAACCAAGCTACAAGGCACACACTTTACAAGTATTAGCTCTCTATTAAAGCATTTCAGGAAATATTTACTGCATGCTACTTCCTGTGGTCTGGCAATTTACAGCTCTTGACATAAATTATTTTTGCTGTAGGATGAGAAATAAGTGAAATGTTGTATAGCCTCATCTGTGTCTTACTTGACATAAAAAGGCAATAAAAATTAATATATTGTATAGTTTTGAGCTAGGAAAAAGATGGGAAGTGCTCTTGAGAGGAGTTATCATTCTCACTTCCCACATGTAAACAAGTGACTGTGGTCCCTGCCCATTAGTGTTGGGACTAAATAATCTTTAAATTCCATTCCAACCCTTCAACTTTCCATGATTCTATCAGATACTCACAGCTTCCTCTGGCTCCAGCATGAAGGATGAACTCCAGGCTCCACTGAAGACAAAATTTGGTGGATGTGGCTTCTCCAAAGCCTGCAGTGCTGGATGAGATGGATCTTTCCAAAACAAGTTAGAAAATAGAACATTTTTGTGTCTTTACGGCAGGATTTGTTCAGAAGGCTCAGCAGTCAGGGAAGGAGATTATGCAGATAGCTCAGGCATGATAAAATCAACATTTTATCCTCACAATGCAGGCACAGTCATGAGAAACTCCACTTGTGGACATGCCCAGACTTTGTGCCCTTGACTCTGATTTTAGGCTCCTGCAAGCTGCCAGTTGTTCCCTGATTCCCATCAGGTCTCTCCTGATCAGCTCACTGACCTTCCCCCATTATTTGGGATTCCCCAAGGGCAGATATTTTTTATTCTATATCCACTTAGGGATGAAGAGCCATAAAGGTAAATAATCAGTGGAACAAAAATCCAAATTTAGGAGGAGAGCCTTATTTGCATTTTGGGTGTCTGTCACCATGTGAAACACAACATTTATCCTGGGGAGAGAAAAAGCCCTGCAGGGCCTCCTACATGGCTGATTTAAGTTTTTTACAGTTTTCAACTTGATTGATTTAGGGCTAAATTCTGTAATATTTAAACATATTAAAATATCTCTGACTTCAACAGTTTTAAGCTTCACTTGAGTGAGGCACAGCATCATTCCTTTGCAGAGACTCTGCTGTTAGAACTTCCTGGTGCCATTAATTCCCATTAGCAGCAAAGACGAGGCTCAGCCTTTGAACGTGCAAAGTTGGCAAGAAATTGTTGTGAAGAAGTGAAGCCACCTTCCTGTTGAAAATAAAACAGATGCCACCATGCTGGTGCCTCTCCAGGAGGCTTTGGAACAGGGGTTGCTTTTATCCAATTTAAAGTGAACATGGAATAAACTCCAAGCACTCATGGAAATACTTACACAGTTGTACCAGATTTAAATTCCTCAGTTTTCAGCTCCAAAGCTGCTTCCTTTCCTAAAATGAAGCCTATAGATTAAGTTGACTAAAGCAAATTTTTAGAAGAAGCCACCAGGATGTCCTTCATAGATAATTCCAATCACAATAGCAAGAACTCACTGCTAATTTAGATGGCCCAAATTTCAAGTGTAAAAGTTGGTTTAAAGCCAGATAAGTCTATAAAATAAATCAGAATTAAGACAAATAGCAATTATATTTTGTTATGAGGTTTTTGTTTGTGATCTAGAATACAAGCTGGTGCAAACAGGGAGTGTGAGAAAGAGAGAAACCCCTGTAGGATGGCTTTTGATACCTGCCCATACAGATTTCACAAGCAGCTGTGGCTAATCCTGGCTCAGAGAGCTTGGAGCAAACTGAGAAATGAAGAGTGTCAGCCTTGCAAAGAGCTCATGTGGCACAAGGTCAAGGTTGACAAACCAGCCCCAGCCTAATGCCTCAAATATGTCCAGGGCTGCGTTGGCCAAGAAAGATAAATGAAGAAACTGTCAGCCAGCTCCAGTCTAAACAATAGAACAATTTAAACTGGAGGGAATCATAATCTGAAGCAATTTGTTTCATACTGTACCATCATGATAAAGAAAATCTCAATTTTTCTCCATCAATTTGGGGTGTAAATGGGAGTCTCAAGCAAAAAAAAAACCCCTTTCATCAGAAATAAAAGTCACATTTCAAGGTATCCATAAGGACAAGAGCCATGTTTAAAGCACAGTGGAACAGCAGATATGAAAAAACAATTTTGGTTTGTGAGGATAAATAAAGTACTGCCAGTTGTGCTGTTGGGAAGAAGACAGGAACATGAAACACAAGATGTGGTGCTCAGTAACAAGTCAGGACATTCTGGAAAACAAAATCATGCACATCCCCTGATGAGGTAAATTATAGTTGAAATCTGTTTCTAAGAGGAGGAGAGGGACTCTGAGCTTCTAAAGGATCCCTAATCAGAATCTCTCCTCTTTTGGGGACAAAGTTAATGAAAGAGAGGTCAAAAATCATTATTTCTCATAGATTCACTGGAACTGGTTCTTTTCTCTCAAAGACACTAAAGGGGCTTCACCTTGAGCCTCACAAGTAGAATGAGAACACACCCAAAGAGAAGACCCTGCAAAAATAAATTGGAATAAATAGGTTGTAACATGTACATTTCTGCTCCATAAAAGTGGTAAAGTAACAGTGTGTGATAAAGCCACAAAGTGAAAGAAATTGAAAGTTAAAACTCTCCCTGATCCACTCTCATTTCACACTTCAGTTAGAGATTTTTATTTCCGCTCGTTCGGGAGTCTCATATCTTGAGATTTTTGTCTCCCATTTTCCAGATTTTAATGAGACATTTGTATAACTCTGAGGAGAAGGTTATGCAAAGTTTGAAGTAAATTCAAATTGATTTTGAGTACAAGGCACTTTAACTTAATATCCATCTCCCGCTCCTAAAATGGTGTTTTACTACCTCACACTTGTGGTTATATTTAAATAAAACAGGTTCAGAGCATGTTATGTTATAGAATGGACTTGGTTTAAGGGGATTTTAAAGCTCCCTCCCAACCTTCCACTATCCCAGGGTGTTTCAAGCCTCAATGTCCAACCTGGCCTTAGAAATTTCCAGGGATCCAGGGACACCCTGTGCCAGGTCCTGTCTACCTCAAAGGGAACAATTCCTTCGTAATATCAAATCTTTTCATCAAATCTAATATTCATCATAGAATAAATAATCCTGGGGATGTTGAAATGCCAATCTCTTGGGGTCACGAAGGGTGACACTCGTGCAATGTTCCTGTTGCTTCTCTTACATTTAAAATAACAATAATATTTTTTAATTCATATTTTATCTTTTCACTGCTCATGCACTCCCAGTACTGAAGCAATATCATAGGCACAAATACTTTGGAATCTGGTATAATAAAAAAATACAAGTAACAATTTCTTATATTATTTTCAATATTTGTTTCGTTTCAGCTTCAAGCACAGGTTGGAGAATGACAAAATCAACCCTTGACAAACCTGCACACGATCGTCAGTGTTTATGGTAAAACTATAGGTAGTACTAATGAAATCCGTGAAATTACTCACATGTTTAATGAGATGCATGAAATTAAGCAGGTTTTTGGATTGGGGGAGCCCAGACGTGATGGAGAGAAACACCACAGTCAAGTTCAAAACTCTTGAGATGCTAAAATTAAATTTCCTCTCCCCAGCTGACAAAGCTCACTCATCCTTGGGCTCTGACCTAACTGACATTTCCAGGTGCAATATCCATGCAGATTTTATAATTAATTCTATTTTCCTACGATTCTTCAAGGAAATTGCACAAAGGGCAAAAAAATCACTGGCAAAACCCAAAACAACAGGAGCAAAAAGAGCAAAAAAAAATAAAGAGGAAGACAGAGGAGCCTGCTGTGAAATCAGCCTGTGTTCTAAGGCATGTCTCACAGAATGATTTGGAGGCTGTGGTGGTGTAAACCAAGCACCAATATTGACAGAAGGATGAGAGATGATCAGCTCGGGCAGGGAAGGATCCAACCCCTGCACATCACATCCCTCTAAGGTTACAGAGAGTGGAGTCTATAAAACTCAACCTAAAAAGCTTATTATTTCTCAGAGGACACAAATGTAACAAGCTTCTCCTGATGGCAAAAATCCAATTATTGTGGTAAAGGTTGTGCTCAGTTATTTCTCACTTCATGTCAAAGCAAATTGTAAAATGAGGTGCCTGGGAACTCTGCTGCTCTACCTTTACTGGTACATAAACTTACACTCTCCCTTTTTTGTTGTAGTTAGTAAGAAAACAGAAGGAAAAACTGAAGGGGAATGTCATCAAATACTGGCCAAGAATGTGATATATAGATTATTTTTTTTCATTTTTATTTCTCAAGAACTGCAAAGAAAAGTTTAGTGTAGATTGGATCAAATATATATTTTTCTTTGCTGACAGAAATAAAGTTATCTTCATCTCTATTGGATTTTTTTCCTTAGATAGGAGTATATGTTAAACCAGTCCAACTGCTTTTTCTATTTGTTTGGCAAAGGAAAAGAAAAAATTCCACTCAAAACTAAAGGCTAAAGCAATTATTCCTGGCTGTATCTTTGTTTTCTGGGAAATGGCAGTAGGGCTGGCAAGGAAAAATAAGTTATTTTTTAGGAAATCACATACAGCCAGAATTGCTGAATTTTCTGCTCTGGACATTGAAAATGACGGATGCCACAATTCTCCCCTTCAAATGTGGAACCAGTGAGGTTGGGAAAGATCTCAAAGATCATCCAGAGAGTCCCAGCTGTGCCAGATCCACACCTCGTCCCCAGCCCAGAGCACTGAGTGCCACCTCCAACCATTCCTTGGACACCCCCAGGATGGGCACCCCAAACCTCCCTGGGGTCTCTTTGGGCACCTCCCTCACATTCCCAACTTGGAGACATTCCTACAGTTCCTGTAAAATGCCTTTCCCCCTTCTTTTTCTCCTTTTCCGCTTTCCTTTCAGATGATATGAGGGCATTTCCCATCTGGTGCTTCCAGGATGGGCTCCCATGCCTGAAACACAAAGTTCTCTTCCTTTTGGATAATAATAAAGATTTTTTTTCTTGCTATTGGATTCTGGCATGCAGAATGCTGTTTCTCTTTCTGCAGCAGCAGATATTTCAAGGTTGGATGGGGCTTGGAGCAGCCTGGGCTGGTGGGAGGTGTCCCTGCCCATGGCAGGGGTGAATGAGATGGGCTTCAAGGTTCCTTCCCACCCCAAACCATTCCAGGGTTCTGTGGTATCTGACAAACCCCTCCCATGCATCTCTGCTCTTCAGGGTTTCATGCAGTGCCTGCGTTAATTCTTCTGCTCAGGCATTCTAAAGCTGAGCTCCCTGCTTCACTCGCACTAATCAAATATGGAAATCCACCTCAGGAGGGATCTCACACACACTTTGGGCAAGGCCAGCCCAGATCCTGCATTTGGAGCTAAGCTGGGGAGCAATTCATGGTCACAACCAGTGCCCAGGAGCAGCTGCAGCAGCAGAAAATCCTGGGCTGCCTCCCTTTGCCAGGAATGAGCTAAAACACAGCTTAAAATCAGGGATTTTTCTGGGCAGCCCACTCTGACTGACCTCACTTGAGATGACCTAACTCAGTGGAAGAAATTCTTTTTTGGCATTTGCTAAACAAGACTAAATCAAACAAACAAATCAGAAAGCCACCACATATTAAAGTCTGACCTGCTGCCTGTCAGATTGAACCAAAGCCAGATTCTGCTTCACATCCAGACTCATGAATA